TGGACCGATAAGAGGAAAGCCCTTAAGACCACATCTCTCTCTGCAGACAGCTTTCAGCCTCTGCCCAACACTGAAGGTAACAAAGGGCCACGCCAGCCCTCACAGACTTGGTCCCACACTGACCCTGCTCTAGGCAAAAGCCATTATCCTGGAAAACTAAGGCCTTTTCTGAGAGCAGATGAGCAGTGTATATGTTATTCTGGCCCATTTGAAATCATGGAGAAAAAGCAAGAAGCACTTAGAATTTCTGCTGATCCTGTAGGCCCGGACAGTCTTCCTTCTTCAGCTATAGAGGAAGCCAGGAGGGTAACAGCAGGGAAAGTAGGGGCTGCCTTATCTTCTCAGGAACCTTCTGACAGTCCCGGAGTGAGTCAGCATGGGAAGAGCCAGTCAGTTCCCTGGGAGATGGCAGAGGGCATGACCCCTGGCAGTCAGGAGAGCAACCAGGCACACCAAGAACCTAGAACGCTACACACCACATATGGAGGAGAGGCAGGTAACTTCACCGTGGCTGCACAGGGAGGAAAAACAACCGGTTTTGAAAGTCAGCCTGTGATCTGTAATGTTCAGAATTCTGCCAGTCTCTCAGGGGCTAACCAAGACCATGTCCAAGACCTCGAGGCTTCCAATGGCTCAGAAGAAGGGAGGGCACAGCCCAAACGAAGTAGCGTCCTGCCTGGAACCCTGAGAAGAGCTGAGCTGGCAGCCGCCTCCCAGCAGTGTGTGAAGATGGGGAGTGTTGGTTCTGGGCTGGCAGAAGCCTGCAGGGCTGGCAGCAAACACCCGGAGCCGGCTCCATGGCCAGATCAAAGACCTCACCCAGATCCTGGGGGAGTGAGGGAGGAGGCCCTGTGCAGATGTTCACAGGAAACTTCAGATTGTGTTGTCTTCTCAGGGAGCACTGAAGGCAGAAAGACTCTCAGCCCATCTGGGGGGCAGGAAGGCAGCAGAACTCTTCCTTGTCAACAGCCGTGCAACCCTCAAGCCATTGCTGCTTATGCCTGCTCCTCCCCTTCCTCCACTTCACTGTGTTACAGAGATGGTGACCTGGGGAAGGCTGCCCCACAAACTCTCCACCCAGCCTGCAAAGTATCTTGCAGGGCCTGTGGAATGGATGAGAGAGGAGAGAGCTATTCCAGTGACCCTGATGTGTTCTTGACACATGGCCTTGAGCCCGAAGGCATTCATTTGAAATTTGGGCCACCAGACAGCAGCACTCTGGAGCGCTCTGCCACCGCTTCTGTCCTCTCTCTGGCTCAAGGCTGCAGCTCCCCTTCTGCCCCTGACATGAAGGCAGGTTCCCTCAGCCCCTCGGTTGCTGCAGGGGATCCTGAGGAAAAGGTTGCCAAGAAGACAGCTCGTGCAGAGCTTGAGGCTGCCCCTTTTCCTGAAGGCGGGTGCTCTGAGCCACTGGAGAAGTTTCAGGACAGCTCAGTAGGTGGCCAGAATGCACAGGAGTCTCAAACCAAGCCAGAGCTACCTGCAACAGCCAGGAGACAGCACACCCTGAATTTAAGTGAAGGGTCTATTGAGAGTGAGCTGCTGGTGGAACCACAGCATGGATGTTTAGAAAATGCTGTCAGATGCCTTCCAGAAAAGCCACAATTTTCCACCGAGTCCAGGGATCACAGTAGCTTGGATCCCCAAGCCAAATTTGCAGCCAAGTTAAAGCACATCTCCCGTCCCCAGGTTGGCAGTCCCTGGGAGGAGAAAAAGCAGCAGAGAGAGCAGGCTTCGGGCGGTGGTGAAGGCCCCGCCCAGCGCATGCATCCCCCACGCTCCAACGAAGGTGACTTGGATGGCTTTGAGATGAGAGATGCAGGTGGAGAGGAGGGGGCTGCAGCTAAGGCCTCTGTGCCCCAGATGTTCTCACTGGGCTTTAAAGACTCAGCCAGGGACCCTGTGGTGCCTGCTGCTCAGAACCCTGGCCAGCCCTCTTCTGGAAGGGAGCAGCCGGCTCTCCCCCACAGGCGCTCACTTCCTGTCATTGCCGTTTTCTCTGGCCCTAGACACTCAAGGTCCTCCCCCCAGCCACAGTTCTCTGTGATCAGCTCTTCCCGGTCTCTTCAGGAGCTGAATTTGAGTGTGGAACCTCCTTCCCCCACAGATGAAGAGACACAGGGGCCTAACAAATTGTGGAACCCACATCCTAGGGGCCACTCCTTAGAAAAGTCAGCAGTGGGGACATCTCTGGAAGCTGAGGGCTGTGATCAGAAAGCCTCATCTAATGTGAACAGTAGCTCTGCTGATCACAGGCCCCTTCAACCTGCCAGCCCTCCTTACCCAACGCCTTCAGCTCCCTTGTGCATGCCGACCCCCTGCTTCATGACCTGCTGGATGCCTGGTACAGTGGAACCGACCCAGCAGGGAAAGCCACGGAGCTGGGGTGGCCAGGCGAGGCCAGAAAAGTGGCTTTCTGAGGCAGACAGAGGAGCATTGCACTTTAGCTCCAGTGACATCAATCCCTACGTTCTGCCCTGCCCTCCAGCGGGTCCTGCACCCATTGGCTGGAAGCAGTATGTGTTTGGCAATACAGTCGATGTCTCCTGTAGCCAGTCACCCCAGGGCCTGGTACCATCAAAAATGGCCGGGTGTTCCTGCATGGACAACGGCCTAGAAGACCAGAACTCCTCATTCCACAACCACCTCAGCACATGTGCCAATCCCCGAGGTTCACAGGGGGCCTGGGAAGTATGGGATTCTTCGCTCGCCTTGGGGAACCCCCACATCCTGAAGGGCCCTGACGGAGCAGCCCCCGCTAAGCGTCCTGATGAGAGAGCCCAGTTCCAGGCCCCCCCTGCTGAAGCAGGCCCTCTGAGGAGTGAGTCCCCCTGGACTGAAGGAAGTGCTACAGGCCCAGTGGATGAGATGCTGCTGCTGTGTCCATCAGAGGCGGGCAGCCCTGGGGGACAGTCCAGGATGAACACCTTGGAGCAGGGCACACAGACCTTGGGCTGCAGGCTCCACTGGAGCCACACGGACATCGCCTCTGCCCATTTGGAAGCCAGCACAGTGCCGGTCTCTGATCTGGCCTCCTGGGCCAGCATGCACAGCCTGTCTGCCCACCTCTCGCAGCTCCTACACAGCACCTCGGAGCTGCTGGGGAGCCTCTCGCAGCCAGGTGTTGCTGAAAAGCAGCAAAACACCAAGAGGGAGAGCCCAGATGAGGCACCTCAGACCCTCATGATGGATGGCTGTACTCAGACCACCATGGATGAGGGCATCCAGACTGACCTGGCCTCCCCACCTCTGCACCTCCAGGCCCCAGAGGCCAGCCCTCAGGAGGTCAGTGTGGTCCCTGAAGTGCTGGGCTCAGGTATCTCCACCACGTCTCAAGAAAAGGGACATGACCGGGGGACAGTTCAGAAGAGAGAGGCGGAGGGAAAAGCATGGGAAACAACTCGGCCCCCAGATCTTCAGGAAGAAAGCCCCCTCTGCCGGCCCCAGAGCCCTGCAGTGCCCTCATCCCATCTGAGGGTTCAGAAAGCCCCACTTGGGCAGAACCTCCCTTTTGTGAGCCCCCAAGCTTCTCCCGATGCTGCCCAGCCACCCGGCACCCAGCCCAGTGAACCCTCCTGCCTGGCTGTCAGCAGCCCCAGCCTTAGCCTCCCTCATTCCCCAAGACCCTGCCCCAATGCTGCGGAGTCTGTCAGGGAACCCAGGGTCCCGAAGAAGTTGCGCCCCACAAGTGCCTTGTTGGTGGACAGGGCCTCTTCCCCGATACTCGCACTTAGTGCCAGCCCTCAAGGGTCAGAGCTCCCCATAGGCTCTCTGTCTCTCTCCACCCCCTTAGCACACCCTCTTGAAGGCCATCAGAAGCTTGTCCCCAGCCCAGACCTTCCCCTCGACTTCCCCAAGCCTCCAATGGATAATTATTCTCAAACCATTGACGAGGCAGGCAGCCCACAGCACAGCTCAAAAACCCAAGTTTGTTTCCTAGAGCAGCCCCATCAGCAGCTTCAGCCCCAGTCCCCCTCCTGGGTCCAGAGCAGACTGCCGCCTCTGCTGCTGAAGAGCAGGAGTCCGATACTGGCCGAGGGCTTGGTCCCCGAGGACATGGCTCCCCTGGAGTGTGGCCCACTTTGCAGTAGCGGGCCAAATAAATGGCAGAGCAGGACAGAAAATGGGGGTGAGAGTTCAGCATCTGCAGTGGAGCCACAACCCACTGCCAACAATCCCTCTTCGGGGGAAGGCTGGCAGCACCTCAGTCCCTGCCCTGTATCTGAGTTGACTGATAAAACAAGGCTCCAGGGTTCTACCTCTGGCCCAACCAAGACCTGCCAACCTCAGGGGCTGCTGCGCCCCAGTTCCCAGACATGCATGGCTCCTGAGCCCCAGCATCACAGCCTGAGGGACCTCCCGGTGCATAACAAATTTAGGAATTGGTGTGGGGTTCAGGATGGCTCTCGTGGGGAGCTGGGAGTGACGGGGTTGCTGGGACCCAGACATGTCAGCACTGAAGAGCAGGGACAGCATCCCTCACAGCCTCCGGGCGCCCAGAGCCAGGACCCTGCGCGCTCCCTGAAGGAGCAGATGCCCCTGCAAGTTGGGGCCCAGAACCTGCCTCTCAGCACGGAACTCGCAGAAGCGAAGCTGCACCACGGCTTTGGGAAGTCAGATGCCCTGCTCGAGGTGCTGCAGAGCGGGACAGGGGAGGCACTCGCTGCCCGGGAACCTGTGCTGTCCACCTGGGAGGAGCTCCATGCCCGGTAAGGGTCCCGGCCTGGAGTGGGAGGGCGAGGGGGGCCTGAGGGGAAAGAACCAAGGCTATGCGCTGGCTGTCCCTCTCCTCCTGCTCAGTTCTGGGATCTTCCAGGGGTCAAAGATAGATTATAAAATGGAGAAGGGCATCCATGGCCAGTTTCAGTGAATCAATCATGTTTTATCTCAGGCAAAAACAAACCATTGAGTGCCTCCGGAGACAGCGGGCTGAGCGACTTCAGAACTTCCGCCGGACACGAAGCCTCAGCCCCCAGAAACAACTTAGCTTCCTGCCTAACAGGGACCTCCCCGCCCATAACCTTGACTTACCCAGCAGGCGCCGAGAATACCTGCAGCAACTGAGGAAGGATGTTGTGGAGACAACCAGGTATGGGTGGACCCAGAACCCTGCAGGGCGTAGGTTCTGTGTGGGGTGAGGTGGTTGTGGGGAGCAGGGCCTGAATCTTAGTGTCCTGGAGGCTGGAGGCTACAGCTTCCTCTCACAGGAGCAATTCCAGGAGTAGGTCTGCTGTGCCTGTGGACACGTGGAGGTGGCTGTGGGAGATGGGGCAGAGGGGTCGAAGGGTGAACAGAGTAGCTATGGCATAACGAGACGCAGGCCGAGCCTCCGAATGGGATACACAATCAAACTGAAGACCCTGTGGGCAAAAAGAGGATGGCTCACCCAGGAGTGGTGTTACACAGAAAGTAAAGGGATGGAAAAGGGTATTTCATGAAATAAGTAGCAATACTTATACCAGGCAAAATAGACTTTAAAACAAAAGTCAAAGAAGGACCCAACTGGTCTACTGGGCATTTATTAGAAGAAACTCAAAACACTAAATCAAAAAGACAAAAATGCACGCCTCTGTTCATTGTAGCATTATCTACAATAACTTAAGTGTCCATCAGTAGATAAATGGATAAAGAAGAAGTAGTGCATACATGCAATAGAATATGACCTAGCTATAAACAAGAATGAAACCTTGCCATCTGCAACAACATGGATGAACCTAGAGAGAATTGTGCTGAGTGAAATAAGTCAAAGACAAATGCCATATGATTTCACTTATATGTGGAATCTAAAAAACAAATGTACAAGCAGAATAGAAACAAACTCATAGATATAGAGAACATTTTAACAGTTTCCAGAGGAGAAGGGGATTGGGAAGTGGGTGAAAAGGGTGATGGGATTAAGAAGTATAAAATAGCCCTAGCTGGTTTGGCTCAGTGGATAGAGCATCGGCCTGTGGACTGGGGGGTCCCGGGTTCGATTTTGGTCAAGGGCACATGCTCAGGTTGCAGGCTCAACTCCCCATGGGGCGTGCAGGAGGCAACCGATCAATGGTTCTCTCTCATTGATGTCTCTCTCTCTCCCCTCCTCTCTGAAATAATAAAAATATATTTTTTTAAAAAAAGAAGTACAAAATAGCCTGGCCGGTGTGGCTCAGTGATTGGGCATCGATCCATGAATGAGGGAGTCATGGTTGATTCCCAGTCAGGGCACATACCTGGGTTGTGGGCTCAATTCCCAGGAGGGGCGTGCAGGAGGCAACCCATTGATTCTTTCTCATCATTGATATTTCTATCTCTCTCTCCCTCCCTCTCTGAAATAAATAAAAACATATATTTTTTCATATATAGTACAAAATAGTCATGGGGATGTAAAGTACAGCATGAAGTATATAGTCAATAATATTGTAATAACTACGTGTGGTGTCAGATGGGTACTAGACTTATGGGTGACCACTTTGTAAGGTATATAAGTGTCTAATCACTAGGTTGTATACCTGAAACTAGTATGTATGTCAAGTATAATTGAAAAATAATTTCTTAAAAGTTAAAAAAAAATGGTGTTGAACAGGCCTGGGGTGAGCAGGCCATGGCCATCGCCCACCCACCGTGTTAGAAGGCACCTCTCTGCCCCTCTGGTCCTTCCCAGGAACCCAGGGTCAGCGTCAAGGTCTGCTCAGCCACCCTCTGACATAGAGCTGATGCTAAAAGAATACCAGCGGGCTCGTGAGGAGGCCAAGGTGGTGATCGCCCGGGCCCGGGACCGACTGCGGGAGCAAACGGAACAAGAGAAGCTGAGAATCCGCCAGCAGATCATCTCCCAGCTGCTGAGGGTGGGAAACAGGTTTCAGGGTAGGCCTGGAGCCTGGAGGCAGGCCTCAGACGGGTCCTCTTCACTGGGCTGCCTCAGGCATGGGCTGTAACATTTGACCCCTGGTGCCAGGTCAAAGCTGTATTCACTATCTTTGTGTGTTATTCTCATCAGACCAGCTCCTATTGCTGGGCCAGAGTCTGGGAGGAGGCTGCCTTGGTATAGAGTTGGGGTGGGGCTGTGGGGAGGTGTGAGGGTGTGAGGCTGAGGTGGGAGGCACTGGGGGTGATGAGTTCAGGGAGGTGAGAGGGGTGGATTTGGGCTGTGGGGCCTGGGTAGTGAGGGTGCACCAGAAGCTGGTTGACAGTGATCTGTCCTTCCCAGGAAGAGGAAAAACTACACACCCTGGCCGCCTCCAGCTCCCTGTGCACCAGCTCCAATGGAAGCCTCTCCTCTGTTGTCACTTCTGGCTACAACAGCAGCCCGGCCTTGTCAGGCCAGCTCCAGTCCCCAGGCAGTGTGGTGAGTAGGCAGATGCTAGGTGTAAGCTCACGGCCAGGGCTGCTAAGGCAAGAGTTTGGGCAGGAAGTTCTGCCTCAGGTCACTGCTGACACTTGATGGATGGTGGCTTTGGCTCTTCCTCTAGTTCCGTTTTTCTCTCCCTGTTCATTCATTCAACAGCTGCTTATTTTGTAGATGTTGTTTTAGGCATTGAGGGTGCAGCAGTGAACAAAACTATTCTTGTCCTTAGACTATTTGAAGGATAAATATTAAAGAGCTTATTTTATAACTAGAGGCCCGGTGCACGGATTCATGCACCAGTGCGGTCCCTTGGCCTGGCCTTCGGGGATCAGTCTAACATCCCCCGAGGGGGCCCGGAGTGCGAGAGGGCACTCTGAAAAGTTGCTGTTGCTCAGCAGCTCCTACGTTAAGCGTCTGCCCCCTGGTGGTCAGTGTGTGTCATAGCTGCCGGCCCGTGGCTTAGGCTTATGTATATATACATTATTTACTGTTGCATGGATGAAGGGATGCTAAGCCAATGTGAAAGGTGGACCCTGACCTAGTCTGGAAGCTCAGTAAAGATGCTCTGAGACTGATGGTAAGAGAGAGATTCTGCAGTGAGAGCTCAGTGCTGGTGGAGTCCAGAGGGCCAACAGGGAGGCTCGGAGGGAGGAGGAGTTTGAGGAACAAAAACACTTGTTTGGTTGCAATGTAAAGAGTGAAATGGGAGAATGTCATAAAAAAAGGACCAGAAAAGGCAAGATCATGTGGACTCTGTTGAGAATTCTGGGCCTTTCTAATCCATCCGATCATGTTACTTCCCCAAAGCTGCTGGAAAGCCTTAAGTAGGGAGAGAAGGATGAGATTGTGAGAAGGGGGCAGGAGCAGCTCTGTAGACCCATTAGTGACCATGCAAAGCCGAGTGAGAGTTCACGATTGCTTGGGTTAGGACACTGCTGGTGAAGATGAACTGCTGTGGTTGCAAAGAAGAGAAAGGGCCCGCGGACTGACTGGATGTGGAGAAGGGAGAAGGGATGGTTGAGAACAGTGCATGCTTTGGGTTTGTCGACAGTGGCAGGAGCCCTGGAGGCGGACAGGTTTTGTGGGGAAGATCATGGATCTAGTTTCGTATTTACTGGGTTGAAAGCACCTGTGAGAAATGCAGGGGCTTTTTGGAATACAGATCTGGAGCCCAGGTGAAATTCATTTTATAAAGAAAAACTTCACATAGTAAAAAATATATAGTTTTCAAACAGTAGGCAAGGACACACAGTGTCAAGTGCATATTTCAGTCTCCTGTTTGCCCTCCCCAGAAGCAGGCATTCATCCCATTGCATGGATGAAGGGATAGTCTGTGCATCTCTGAGAATATATCTTTTTTCTAAAGCACATGAATGGAAGCATACTGTACTCATTTTGTCCCTTTGCTTTTTTCCTTTAAGAATATTTGTTAGATCTTGAATATCAGTGAATCTAGTGCTGACTTATTCTTTTGAATAATTAAATAGTGTTTCTTTTTTCTCTTTAATTGCATGTTATTAAATGAGATGTTTTATATAGATAATATGAAGTGGAAAAGGCAAAAAATATATACATATATAAGTGTATATAGGGAAATACCCATCCTTTTCCCCAACTACCTAATCCGTGTCCCTCATCCCACCCAAGAAAACAGTGGTGTGTGTTTTTTGGGGGGACATCTCCCTAGATAGAGTGTCTTTTGCATATAAAATAAACATATTATGCCACTGATCTTTACTTCATATATTTTTTCCAATCAGTATATCATTACATGACAATGTAGAGAACTTTCTCTTTTTCTCTGTGATCCCATTGTAGGGATGCATTGTAATTTATTTAATCCTCCATCTTGGATTGTTTTCAGTTTTTTGTTGTTGTAAACAGGGCTGCAGTGAATAGCTTTGTGCGTGTATAGCTTTCTTACATGTGCAAATATATCTGCAGGATAAATGTGGACTTGTTCTACAAGCATATGCATTTGAAAATTTGATAGATACTGACAGATTTTCCCTCACAGATACACTGATTTTTACTCCCACCAGCAACAGGCAAGAGGCCACCTTCCTCCCATACTCTTGCTCACATGTTATTAAATGTTTGGACTGTTGAGCCATCTGTTCATACCCTTTGCTCATTTTTTTCTTCTTTCTTACTAGTTACTGGGAGTTCTTTACATAGTGGCAAGATAGCTCTTTGCCTGATGTTAATTGCAAATGTTTTTTTCTAGTTCTGTATTATCTCTTGACTTTATTTACTATGTTTGGAGCCATTCAAGAAGTTTTATCTATTTATCAGTTTTCCTTTTATAGTGTCTATGTCCTAAATCATAATTAGAAACACATTCTCACCCTAGCTGGTTTGGTTCAGGGGATAGAAGGCTGGCCCATGATTCCAGTCAAGGGCACATACCTCGGTTGCAGGCTCGATCCCCAGCCCCGGTGGGGGGTGTGTGTGCAGGAGATAACCAATGGATATGTCTCTCTCACATAGATGTTTTCCCTTCTCTGTCTTTCCCCCTTCCTTCCACTCTCTCTAAGAATCAATGGAAAGCCCTATCTAGTTTGGCTCAGTGGATAGAGCATCGGCGTGAGGACTGAAGGGTTCCAGGTTCAATTCCGGTCAAGGGTATATGTCCGGGTTGTGGGCTCGATCACCAATGTGGGGCATGCAGGAGGCAGCCAATCAATGATTCTCTCTCATCAATGTTTCTATCTCTATCTCCCCCTCTCCCTTCCTCTCTGAAATCAATAAAAAATGCATTTTTAAAAAATTAATGGAAAAATATCCTTGGGTGAGGATTAACAAAAAAATAAAAAAAGTATCACATTCTCCATTCCAAAGTTATAAAGAATTTCTCCTATGGTTTCTTCTAGAACTTGTATGGTTTTATTTTTTATATTTAAGTCATTGATTCATTTGGAAAGTGATGATTGGGTGCTCCAAAAATATATACACACTTTGAATGATTATAAAGTGTTTATTAACATACAATTCATTTTCAAAGTTTAAAAGAATCTACAGAAATGAATAATTTTTTTGTCAATGCCTGTTTTCATATTTCAGAGAGGAAGGAAGAGGGAGAGAGAGAAACATCAATGATGAGAGAGAATCATTGATCGGCTGCCTCCTGCCCGCCCCCTACTGGGGATCGAGCCTGAAACCCTGGCATGTGCCCTGACTGGAATCGAACCTGGAACCTTTCAGTTTGCAGGCCAGCGCTCTATCCACTGAGCCAAACCAGCTAGGGCTCAATGACTGTTTTCAAACTGATGACCATTCTGGTCCAGGCACTGCTGATAATGCACAAAGCAATGGAATCCCCAACATCAAAAATCATTTCATTTGGTATTTGTGTGCCCTCAATTAGTTGACTGTTGCTAGGTTTGTACCATAAACTTTATCTTTTATGTTATCCCCATAAAAAAAAAAGCCTAGTGGAACTTTAAGATAAATTTTCTTTGTTCAAAGCTTAGTCTGGCTTTACCCATTATTTCAAATCAGTTAAACCTGAAAAGGAGTGAAAATTAAGTGAGTTACCAGCTGTTAACATGTGTATGCATTTTTTTTGGGGGGGGTACCTTATAGTATGAGATGTGGATCCCACTTTTTCCTTTTCAGTTGGCTATTCATTTGTGCCTGTGCTTGTTAGACAGCTCATCTTTGCCTCACCAGGTTAAGACGTCAACTTTTCTTGTTCTAAGGCTTATAATGTATTTTACTCCTCATTGCCTTTCTTTTTTGAAAATTTCCAGAGTATTCTTTCTTGTTTATTTTTTAAAATGAAATTTAGGATCAGTTTGTCTAGTTCAGTGATAAAAACTTGTTATTTTAATGAGGTCATGTTCAGATTATGAATCAACTTGAAGAGAAATCACATCTTACGTTGGGGCATCTCCTAACCAAGAACAGTAGGTTCAAGCCTTCTTTTTATGTTTACGTTTCCTTCACATGTCTCTCAAATTTCTTGTCAGATTTATTCTTGTTTTATCTTTTTTTAAAAAATGTATTTTATTGATTTCAGAGAAGAAGAGAGAGGGAGAGAGAGATAGAAACATCAGTGAAGAGAGGGAATCATTGATTGGCTGCTTCCTGCACGCCCGGCACTGGGGATCAAGCCTGCAACCCAGGCACAGAATTGAACTGTGACCTCCTAGTTCATAGGTTGACGTTCAACCACTGAGCCATGCTAGCCAGGCTATTGAACCATTCTTATAGTCTTGGAATTAATACTGTAATACAAATACATTATATACTTAAGCACATCATGTATTATCAGAGTTTATTTGCTAATATTCAGGGTTTTGCTTCATTATGAGTTTTATTCTGTAGTTTTGGTTTTGCAATATATTTCAGATTTTGGTATCAATGTTATACTCCTTTTATAGTAAAAAGGGTGGAAGCTTTCTTTTTCAATCTTTAGGAATAGTTATGAAAGTCATGGAAACTTTATACCTATTCAGTTGTCAAAATGAGAAAACTGAATGATGCCAGGTGTTGGCAAAACTTGGGGATACAGGAACACTTACAGGGTTATGACCCAGCAATGCTTGCAGAGTTTATGAGGGAACGTGTATGAAATTGTTTATTAAAATATTATTTGAAGCCCTAGACAGTTTGGCTCACTGGATAGAGTGTTGGCCTGGGGACTGAAGAGTCCCAGGTTCAATTCCGGTCAAGGGCATGTACCCTGGTTGCAGGCACAACACCAGTAGGGGGTGTGCAGGAGGCAGCTGAACGATGCTTCTCTCTCATCGATGTTTCTAACTCTCTATCCCTCTCGCTCCCTCTCTGTAAAAAATCAATAAAATAT